CCCCCTCAGCGCATTTCAGCCCCCCCCCAACCTATAGACCTATGGGAGATGATCAGCATGTAGTCACATCATACGTGTGGAAGGAACAATGCAGTATGTATGTTTTCACTGAGGATATTAGCTCACACTGGGCGAATCCCCACTGGAGTGCAGTGGGAACGGGAAGGTAGTGCCCCGCAATCACTAGTTTCATTGGCACTAGCCCCCCACCAGCCCCCACTCATAAAAATACCGATGGACAGCAGCAGGGACGCGGTTGATAGGAGTGACACACACACACACACACTCGCTCACTCTCGGACACAAATGGACATGTGCAGCTCGGATTGAGGTGCTCTCACGCCGGGACTGGTGGGTCAGCGCTATTCACACCACTGTCTGAAAAGAGGATCCACCGAGCTGGGGGAGAACTGGAGTGTCACGTGCGAACTGTAAACAACAGAGGTAACACTAGCTCTTGTCCAGTTAATGGTTGGTTATTCTGATTGTATCGGTGTTAATGAATGTATTGTATAAGCTTAGCGGTAAAATACAGCCCTAATGTACTTGATTAAAATTCTTGTCATGTTGTAGGGCTTGTAAAATTATGTGTCCACTTAATTGGCTAAGGTAAAATGCTAGGATGTGAGTTTCTGCAAGTTTATTGTCCCTGCCCTAGGGCTATGCTTTAAAGCGCTTGCTAAATTTAGAATGTCTCTCTGTATATGTGGGCAACCAGCGGCCGACCTCTCGGTTCCGCCTGCTCATTTACGTGAACGGCTACTACCAACGGAGAATCATGTGACTGACTCAATACATTGAGCGTGCAGACGGGGGCTGAGAGGATCTGTTCCTGCCTGACAAAGAATGGGCAACACGGCTGATGAAAGCGATTTTGATCGTTTGATGATTGCCAGTGCCAGACATGCTGGTCCGCGCGTCTCAGAAACGGCATCCTTCCTGAGGTTTTCGCAGAGTACGATGTTTACAGTTTACTGAGTGCCAGTTCTGAGGGCACAAACAGAAGTCGGATGAGAACGTACGGGTTAAAGCTAACAGAACAGCAAGGAAATGACCCGGCTCCAAATTCCATAATGAAAGTTTCCAGTAGCTTGTTCAATCCATGTCGAATTCAGGCTGTTCTGAGGGCAAAAGTGGCCCCGCCCAGGACTAGTCAGGCACGCCCACTGTGCGTATATATATATATAAATAACAGGGGGCCAGGCCAGCACTGTCCACAGCGCACACAAATAGCCTCGCAGCCTGGGTATGTGTTTGTGCCTGCCTTCGTTTATAGATAGATCAGCAGCTAGTGTTTAATTACATCTGTCACGTGGCATGCTGATGCCACCCAGCCCTTTTTTCTTAATATAACTTTATTCAAAATGCTCTTTCATTCCCACATAGGACAGAGCAAAGATGTGAACAGTCTTGGGGTCCCTGAGGACCGAGTTGAGAAACACGGCTCTAGAACCAAGACATTATCTGTTCATCGGTCTGGGGCCCCTTTTGCTGGGTTTGCTTCTGCGAACCATGGACTTATAATTGTTGGCCTGGACTCTGGCCACAAGTGATGATCAGACTGAGCTGTTAGGATGACAAACGGAGCTTTACCTCTGGAAACACGCTGCCACCACTCTGGATAAAGAAATGTGATTTACTCAGGAAAGGTGCTGACTGTTACTTTGCCCATGGGAGCTTTACTTGGAGGCAGAACATAAAATGATTGGTTCAGAGGGATAACTGATCCAATCATTTTATGTTCTGCCTCCAAGTAAAACTCCTATGGGCAGGACCAAGACAACTAATTGGTTGGTCCCGCTTCCTCTAGTTGCTTGGACGCGCCTACATTCTGATTGGTTATCTCTCTGAACAAGTCATTTTTTTCTTCTGCCCCCAGAACATTGTTGTGTAAGTAAAACTCCCCATGAGTGCTTCATCCCAGATTACCGGAGTGTCACTGCATCAGTTGTTTTTTATAGATGACACAATCCCTTCAGTTACTTTTATTCTGATATTAAACCTTCAAATTATTTCCTAGGATTAATTAGTTTGTTACAAAGTTCTATCTTTTACGAATCTATCTTTTGTATTTTTTTTTTTCCACTGAGTCGGTCGAGGTGGTTTTCAATTCTAAAAGAATCTATTTTTTTGTACATCCACACACTGCATAATACTTAGATTCTAAAAATCTAAAACTAATTGACAAATTGTCATGAAAACGCAGCAGCGTTTTAAAATTCACTTACATTTGCTTTTTATAGACTGTCGCCATGTTGCCTGCTTTCAGTGGTCCTCCACACACCGTGATCCATTGTTTCTGCTGAGTGTATGTCCTGTAGAATGGTGGCTGTGGCTCACTATTAATGATGGCCAAAAAATGCTTCATGAACCATTTGCTGTGTTTTCTGATCCCATTAGATGGCGCTCTCTGTTTAAAAAAAAAAAAAAAGAAAAGGACTCAAAGCATGCTACAAAGTAATCCAAGAGCACCATCTAGTGAAGTCAGAAAATGGTTCATGATGCACCGTTTTGGCCATCACTTCTTCCAACTCCCAGCAATGAACAAATTAACGAGTTCGGCGTTTGGTTGAAGCGGTTGGTTACTAGGCAATTCTCTTGAGACTCATTAGACCCATAGGAGATGTTAATTATATAATTTATTACTGTATTATTATTATTTCTTATTTAAAATGCATGTAATTACATTATTTGCACTGGGATCGCTGTTTTGTTATTCATTTATCTTGGCATGCATAACAAAATTTTGGAGTTGCATTCCCATCGGATGTGTGTGTTTTATTATGCAATTTTAGGGAACAGAAGGTGTTTCAGGAGCACGTCAGTCACGTTGTAGCAGGGCTGACTAGGGCTGACTGTAGCTTTTTGCCTGCCTTAGTTTAGGAATAGCCAGTCTTTTGACGTGCATTTTCCCCTCCATCTTGTTATATCTGTTACCTCCCCACCCCCTTTTTCACACACACACACACACACACACACATGCATGTGCCCTCATTCCCTCGCTCTCCTGCTTTCTGGACCCGCTGCATCCCTCTTCAGTAAGCCTGTGACTGAGCTGCTTCTCCACAAGTTCCTGGTCGTTAGTGGCGCGTCGCTGTCAGTTGGAGGGTGTGCTGGGTAGAGGGGGGGCCGTGCAGTGTAGCACACATCAGCGCTGCTCTTTAAGGGAGGGTGGGCTCGCGCATCGCTGTGCAAACAGGAAGGACGGTACTGACCGGCTGAGCTGCAGGGAAACAGCTGTTAGTGCTTCCTGAAGTACATCCAGCCGGTCCTGGGGGGTGGGTGGGTGGATGGGGGGGCATCGGGGGGTGGTGGCTGGGGTGTTGTTCACTACACCGTCACGGGGCCATCGCCTAGCTCTGCCCCACTGACCACATGAAGGTGATCCTCTCTACACTCTGAGGCTGCTACTAGCTGGTGAGTTTGCGTGTGTGTTTGTTTTTGATTTGATCGCGTATGTTTGGCCACCTGCATCAGCAGGTACCCGCCTGTAAGAGTGTCTGTCTTCACTCGTGACTGGCTTCAAGCTGTGTGTTTTAAAGTTGCATCATCCTGAAACAGCAGGCTCACGATACGGTGGTGATACTCGTACCAGAGAGATGCGGGTTGAATTCCTGTTTTTCTCCCTCCTGTCTGCATTATTTCCACACAGGGGATCGAGGGAAGTGCATTTTCTTGTTAGTTTCCTTTAATATTACGATGGTAACGAGGGTGTTGGAGGTAGAATTATATTTCCAGACATTTGGTCCCACAATGTGCTAAAACCTATTCCTTTTTAGCTTGTGGGGACATTTTTCAATTTTATAAAAATCTCTGATCTTAAAAACTACAATAGCCAAAAGACTTGTGTTTTGTGGGGTTTACTTATGATTAAGGGATTGTGATTATGGTTATACCCACAGAAGTAAATGGATGGTCCCCACAATGATAGGAATGTATGAATGAATTTTATGTGTGTGCATGTTTGCGTGTGTCCGTGTGCATGCCCGCTTGTGTCCCTTTCATACATTGCTCAGGAGCAGCTTGCGGTTAGGTGTGTATCTGAAATTTGGTGCCTACGTACCTCAGAAGCCTCTCCGCTTTCGTGTGGCGCTGTGCCCCGTCTACTCTTCTCGTACGAGCTCAGTGAATGACACGTGTGCACGCAGCGCCGTGCCCCGTTTACTCTTCTCGTACGAGCTCAGTGAATGACACGTGTGCACGCAGCGCCGTGCCCCGTTTACTCTTCTCGTACGAGCTCAGTGAATGGCGCGCGCACACGCCAGCCATCGCCTAGGATACGGCCACCTGTTTTCTGGACAGGGGTTGTGTGGATGGAGATGGTGAGGGAAAGAGAATGCGTGTTTGCCTTACACACACACGCACACACACACACACACACACACACAAACACTGCGGTGACAGCTGGACCGAACAGGTGGGAGTCTACATCCTGGTGAGACACAGTTACCCTGTGTGGCCTGGTAGTTTTTTTTTTCCCCACAATACACACACACACACACACACACACACATACACACACACCCACAGTCTGTGGGCCCCCGAGGACCTGGGGTGGGAAGCCCTGCCATAGAGGATTACGGTCATGTAGGGTGTGTCCTGTTCGACTCGTAGCCACTACGATTGCCTAAGGCTGTTCACACAGAAGGGTGCAGAGTACAAAGCCAATCAGCCGTGATCTGCACATTGCTGACCAGTTTACATGATAACAGCCGCTTAGAGATATCGACGGCTCCTATCGATGCCCCCCCCCAACCCCCCACCCCCTGGTACTGCATGCAGGGAATGCGGAGATCAGTATCCGTGCAAAATTCAGAGCTAATAGAAGACGAGCTGTATCTTGCACGTATTTTGCTACCACCAGAGTTCAACAAGCCCCGCCCACTACATCCTCTGCCCCCCCCCCCCCGCCCTGTAGGTGATGCAGGTGGTCCGGGAGCAGATCACACGGACACTGTCCAGTAAGCCCACCTCCCTGGAGCTCTTCAAGAACAAGGTCAACGCGCTCAACTACAGCGAGATCCTCAAGCTGCGCCAGACGGAGCGTCTCCACCAAGAGGAGACCCTCGCTCCGCCCGTGCTGTGGGTTTCAGGCCTCCGCCCTCCCTGCTTTTAATCTGCTCTTTGCATGACACTTGGTACTGCACCCGTGATACAGCCACTTTCCCAGCATGCACTGTGGCATTCTCACGACACGGCACAGTCTCTGTGATGGGTATCTGGCCCTCGGCACCCCCTGCGGCTGAGGGCGGGGGCACAGTCGGTGGTGAGGAGGATGTGTGCAGAGGAGCCAGTAGAGTAATGCGCCCGTGACATTTATAAATAATGGATTCCATGTGCCGAGGATCTGTGGCTCTTTCTGACTGAAGGCTTTGTCTCACACTGTCCTTTACTTGACATAAATGGAGAATAAGATCGCCTCTGTGAATGGAGTGTAACGTAACATTCATTTACTGCCTTTTATCAGAGTAGTGGGCATTCACATTCCTACTGCTATGTATTCAGCATAATGTGCAGCGGTGTAAATAAAACAGGGTCATAATAATTGCAGGGTCAGTGCTTAGGATGTGAGACCCAGAGTCTCATGGCACAGGCTGTACCAAATGGCTCTGGCCAATCAATAACCACATCCATAGCTGACGTAATTTCCATTTGTGTTTGATTTTGTTTGTTGATGCGTGATGTGAGTGAGTTGTTGGTGCCTAACTGTGTTTCTGCTTGATCTCTCCCTTTGATCTTCATGTCTGTCATGCTAATCTGCGCATCTGACTGCACAGACATATGCCTATGCAGCTCATCTGCGTGTCTGAATGCACATCTCCAGGTTTGTCTTGGCTGTGTGACCTTG